ACCCCAGCCCCTGTGATAAATGGCAGCATTAACAAGGTTTGGTTGAGAGAGAACCTGCAGATTTATGACTTCCTGTGTCCGCCAGCAGATGTCATTATGGCTGACAGAACAGAAGGCCTTTCAAGAGGGAGCTGGGTGGAGCTAAGAAGAGGGGAAAAAATAAAATAAAATAAAAGGCAGTAGCCAAAACGAGTGTTTGCTTAGTGGTGCTATTGTTGATACTGTCATTTTAGGGACACAGCGAAGTTTTATACTAAGCTGAACATATTGTGATATCGCGGAGGTCCTGCTTCTAAGATTTAGGCAGAAACTCTCAAATGAAAGGCAAAGTTATTGGCTTTACTCAAATAAGAAAGCCTACAGGTTTTTTGTTCCTGGCCTATTTGTACCCTTAAAAATTCTCTAGGATAAAATGGACACTTTGCACTGAATAAACAGATATTTACCTTGAAATACCATTTTTGATAGTTTTAAAATATATTCATTTTATAAATTCAGTAACTTGTTCTGAAATTCCTTTGATGCATGTATAATCTCACCCATGTTAAGAAATTGCTCTGTAGGATGTCACTGGTATTTTAGGTGCCAGAAAATTTTGTGGTATTGAAAAATGGTATACATTTGGCATTCATCATGGGCCCCAAACCCGTATTAACAAATACAGCTGCTGACTCATCCTTAGCAGTAATTATAGGTCACATGTTCATGTGTCTTCCTTTTCATCTTTACCTGAAGATTTACCTTCAGTAGGTAAAGAAGGCATTTTTTTTCCAGTTGACTCTCATCTAATGGACACTGGAATGTGTCCCTTGGTCTCAGTGATCATTGCCCCAAACTGCAACCCGGAAGGAACAGCTCTGGTTACAGATAAGGGGCTGTCTTCAAATCTATCATCAACAAATCATCCCCCATCGTGGCTGCACAGCCAATGGGACTTGGCAGAAATTGAGTCATAGAGAACTTCTTGGAGGACTTGCAGAGGACGTCAGTAACACATATTACTTTTTTGCCCTGGTCTCTCAAAAAATAAAATAAAATAAAATAAAGTAAAATAAAATAAAATAAAATAAAATAAAATAAAATAAACCAACAAAAACTCATTTTAAGCAAAAACTTGATTGAGAGCCTTCTATCATTAATTAATAGCCATACAGTGAATGCATGTGTTGTGGTGAATATCTGATTCCATAGAGATTTTCAAAATAACATGGTGGGTGAAAAAATGGCTACCTCTGTCATGCCTTTTGCAAACCTCGTCGGAGTGGTCGTGTAGTGATTTGCTGACGAACCGGGCTCCAGAGTCTCACTCTGAATTCTTTTCCCGGTTCTTCCACTCATGACTTGTATGATTCTGGCCAAGTTACATAGGTTCTTCAAATCTATTTTCTCACCTTTAAAAGATGGACAATAATGGCACCATTCGCTTAGTGTTTTTTCTAATGAGAGTTGAACACTTGTTTGTGAAGTAGTGAACTGAGTGCCTGGCACAGAGAGGAGTTCAATACGTTAGCTATTGTTATAATAATTAATGTCAAAATATATTTCCTCTTTATTATTTCACAGGCAGACACGCCAAGTTATAGACTGATTCATTGGCCACCTAGAAAAGAAATCCGATAATAATAGTAATAGCATTAATTGTAGCTATCATATATTGAACACATACTAAGTGCCGGACACTGTCCTGACTACTTGACACGTATTATCTATTGAATTTAATCCTTACAGCAACTTTATGAGGTCAAGTATTATTACTTCCATTTTACATAAGAGGAAACACAGTTTGGATGGTTTAAACCAGTGGTTTTCAAAACTGAACATGCATCAGAATCAACTGCAGGGCTTTTTAAAACAAAGATTACTGGCTCCCCTCCCCAGAGGCTCTGAATTAGTAAATGTGGTCTGGGGTCGCAAGATGTTCATATGAACAAGTTCCCAGATGCTGCTGCTGCTGCTGCTGCTGATCTGGGAACCCCATCTGAGAACCACTGATTTAAGTAACTTGTTCATTGCTACACAATGAGTAAGTGGCAGAATGAGTTTTCAAATTAAAAAATTTGAATACTTTAAAAATATTGTTTATTTATTTTTATTATTTATTTATTTATTTTGAGACAGAGTTTTGCTCTGTTGCCCAGGTTGCAGTGCAACGGCGTGATCTCAGCTCACTGTAACCTCCACCTCCTGGATTCAAGACATTCTCCTGCCTCAGCCTCCCAAGTGGCTGGGATTACAGGTGCGCACCACTACGCCTGGCTAATTCTTGTATTTTTGGTAGAGACGGTGTTTCACCATGTTTCCCAGGCTAGTCTCGAACTCCTGACCTCAAGTGATCCACCTGCCTCGGCCTCCCAAAGTGCTGGGATTACAGGTGTGAGCCACCATGCCTGACCTGAATACATTTTTTAAATGTAATTTTAACAAATACCTATATTTCTTCAAATTTCCTAACATTCAACCTTTGAAGTAATAGTTGATTGTTGAAGTCACAAAGTACAATGATTTGGGTAGCTACTTGTTTGCATGAAATGCCCTGTTCCATAATGTTCTTCATGGCCCAAAACAGTTTGTGATTTCCTAGAAGGAGAGAATTTCGGGATTTCAGAGCAGCGTCAAATCCTTAAATCAACCCTGCTTGACCACTCTTGAGGTCAGCAGTCCTACTGGGTTGTAAGAGAATGCCAGGGCTGTGACCCACCCCAGCTGGAGAATTCGTTAGGAGTTCCAAGGTGGAGCCCAGCTGAGCCGGCCACACGTGGGCACCATGTGTGCCTGAGAGGCATGGTGTTTCCTTGGTCCCCAGCCAGGAAGGACTCTCAAAACATAGCCCCTTTGGACCTCAGAGGTCTCTGGAGATGCCTTCATTGACTGTCTAAGATCCAGACGCCTCCACTGCCCATGTGAGCCACTTGCAACCAGTCAGCCCAGGGGACCATTGGTACAGAGTGCTGTCTGGAGTCAGACTGAGATGTGCTTTGACTCGTATCAGAGAGTTTGGGAATGTAGGAGAGAGACCTCCAGAAGCCCTTGATGAGAGATGTGAATGGAGACAAAAGATGCAGGCATAGAGCCCGGGTAAAGCCCTTAGTGGATAAAGTAAACCAGCAAAAGGTCAATGGTGTCTTCCTTTTCAGTTCTAAATGAAAATAACTGGAATTCAAATACACAGGCAGGAAGAAATGTGAACACTCAAGGACTCGAAGAAAACAGATAAACTGAAGAAAACAGGGATGCCTTGGACAGAGCTGATTCCTTGCTGGTGGAAGATGGGGAATTCCTATTGCTGTGATGGAAGATGGAGGAATGGGGAGCACACTGGGTTTACCATCAGGAGCCTGGGTTTCCAGTGCAGTCTCTGTAGAGTGTGGGCCAGATGAGTTTTGAGGCCTCTTCCTCTTCTGACGTACATAGATGTTACTTATTTATACACTCACTCATTCATTCATTCATTCATTCATTCAGCAAATATTAACTGAGCACATTGTATGGGGCAGGTATTGTTATAGACACCGGGGTAAAAGCACAGAGCCCAGTCTCTTCTCTCATGGAGCTTACTCTCCAGTGATAAGAGGAAGAGAATATATAAAATAAATTATCTAGTATATTAGGATGTGAAAAGTGCCATGGAGAAAATGAAGGGAAGTAGATTTGGGTTGCAATGGCCTATATGGTGGTGTGGTTGAGAAATGGCTACTTCCATTCCCAATGACAGCATTTGTTACTATCAAAAACCACCCTTTAGTTACAAAGGAGAGAAAATTAAGTCAAATTGGCCTAATGACAAAAGGAAAAATTTGGCTGCCTATAACCCAGAAGTCCAGCAGTTGTTAGTTTTAGTGGACACTGCTGTTTTTCCTCCCAGCATTCACGCCAACAATCCTTTCTGACATAACTCAGATATTCCTGTGGCTATCTAACGCTTTCCCATTTGACTTACCTACTTCCAGGGAAGGAGACACCTCCCCCAGCTCCAGGACTTAAGCCAATCAGCACATTCCCTTCCCTCATTGATCACAGTGATTGGTTCATGAGTAAGAAAGGGCTCAATGGAGCAGAATCTCAGAAATGTGTCTTGGGAGCTTTTATTTACTGACCTAGGAGGGAAAAAAATTGGCACTGGCAGCTATCTCATAACCATAAGGAGGCCTGGAAATAAAAACCTAGGCTCTTGATGGCACCATTGATCCACTGAATAAACACACTCGAGTACATCTATCTTATGACTAGACGTATAAATGAGCCAAAAAACTTAGAACCTTTCGAGTTGGGCTTTCTGTTACTTATAATAGATAAAATGTCAAGTTCTCATATGTAGGTGCTCATCGATAACCTCATAGAGCTCCAGTTTCCTTCTGCGAGGGCTTCACTCTCAGCCTGGCTGCCCCCACAGTGGTCACCAGCAGCCTCATTCCTGGCAGCACCTGCCAAAGCTCTGCACTCCTGCTGCCTGGGTTCCCTTGGCTCATGTGCCCATCTCTGAACCCAGCCCTGAGGTCAAGGGGATAGAATAGTGATGATTCTGGGACAGACGCTCTCTCCCAGGGCCGGGTCTGCCACCTGCTTCATTTGAATTACATCATTCGAGAAAGTGGGTTGCTCAGTAAAGAGATGCTATCAGAAAAGTGGTTCATGGATGCTGGACAATCAGAAATCATACAAATTCACTATAATACCTCATTTCCGACTTTGGTGTCTTACTTTCCTTATGTGTAAAATAAAAAAGTTGAGATAAAGTGATGTTCCCCAATAATTTTGCTGTCAAGGACCCCCTCTCTTGCCTTCCTTCGTTGCTCATTGTGGAAACCTAATTAAACTAAACTTGAAAGATTTTGTCTATAATTCCTCCATTCTTCCATGCACCATTCAACACACTGTTATGGATTGTCCACTAGCTTCTAGTGTAGTTGTAGCCCTGTGATTACAGCAGTGAAAAAGGTTGGAAGGGATGTGATCTGTTCTGTTAAATGTAATGGGAAGTCTGCTGGTGGTTTTCTTCCTAGGTCAAAATACCAGAGCTTTAGAAGAAAAAAGTTTCGTGTTCATGCCCCTTCTTCTCTGCTTAGTATGTTGGTATGAGGATGTGATGCCTGGAGCTGGAACAAAAAATTTGCAACCATGAGGTGGACATGCATGAAGACAAAGAATTAGCATGAGCACTGAGGAGCAGGAGGGGCAATTGAAGCCTGGAGCCATGATGGTTTGCACAATCCTTGGCCTTCTGTGTTGGATCTAGACTTATTCATCCAGGCTTTTTATAAGGTGAGATACAGCAAGTCTTCATTGCTTAAGGCTTAGTTAAAAGTATTTTGTTACTTGGAGTCAAAAGCATTCTTGATTGATACAGTTAGATTCAGTAGAAGTCCCCAAGCAACTTATAATCTGAAGAAGTCCAGTGAATAGAGAATTACAAATGTCACAAGTGTCCTGAAGAGGAAGTACAGGAGCTTATATCATGGGCATCTAAACATCCAAACAAATTATATTTAAAAAGTAATAAATTTTTCTACTACTTTAGAGAATTAGGTCAGAGATAGACAGAATTTTTCTTGAAGGACTACATAGTAAATATTTTCCATTGCAGGCCATATTGGCCTCTGTTGCAACTACTCAACTCTGCTGGTATAGCTTGAAAGAAGTCATAAACAACATGTAAATTAATCAACATGACTGTGTTCCAATAAAACTTTATTAACAAAATAGGCATCTGGCTGGATTGGGCCATAAACCATAGTTTGCTGACTCCTGAATTAAATACACGCAACTGAGTATGCAATAAAAACAGACAATCAAGTTTAGCTTGGAATATTTAATAAAATATGGAAATACTTTTAAAATTTTGCTTTGCAAATTTCCCAGTGCCAGGTCTTTAAGCTCACACATTCTGTGAGTCAGTGATTCCTCTTTCATGCCTTCCCCTTCTCCCACAGATGTGGATTGAGAAGTGGGTCAGCTGGGCAGCTACCCAGGGTACCAATCTCTAATGAGCTTAGGAACACTAATGGAAGGAGTTGAGAAATCTATGTTGGTTCTTCTCTAATGAAAACATATACCACTGTAATATGAACCAGGCAAAGATACTAAAACATAACATTTATTAGCCCTGAAATGCTTCTGCTAGTTTTGTAACTAACATACACTGCATTTACAATCGGCTCAAAGATGGCAGTTGTGGTCAGCGGAAATACCAAAACCACGTAATGAGTGGTGTGCTGTAACCTACAAAGGATGTGATTTATATTGGGGATATTAAACCTTTTAATATACCTCCCAAGAAGCTGCTTGGTTCAGAAAAACTTACAAAAGAATTCTAAAGAGAAATCCAAACTGCAGAAATGTTGGAAATATTTTAATGTACTTTTTTTTTTTTTTTTTTTTAAAGAATATTGACTCTGTTTCAACGAATGGAAGTAAAATTGTAATTCTGATTCCGAAAAAAATTTTTTAAAGAAAATCAGATTCCACCTTCAGTAACTGATGTGGTTTGGCTGTATCTCCACTCAAATCTCATCTTGAATTATAGTTCCCATAATCCCCAAGTGTCATGGGTGGGGCCCAGTGGGAAGTAACTGAATTATGGGGGCACTTACCCCCATGCTGCTGTTCTCATGAGAGTGACTGAGTTTCCACAGATCTGATGGTTTTATAAACGGCTTTTCCTCTTTTTGCTCAGCACTTCTTCTTGCTGCCGCCATGTGAAGAAGGATGTATTGGCTGCCCCTTCCGCCATGATTGTAAGTTTCCTGAGGCCTCCACAGCCATGTTGAACTGTGAATCAATTAAGCCTCTTTCCTTTATAAATTACCCAGTCTTGGGTATGTCTTTATTAGCAGTGTGAGAATGGACAAAAACACTAATGGTATGTGGGACAAATGCTTGAAGGGTATTGGATTGAAGAGTCACCAGACTGTTAGTCTAGGTGGCTCCAGTTAGATAAAAGCCCATGAACTCAAGTCCATGTTGAGACTAAGAAGGTAACACAAATGGAATGCATTGGATCCAAGGCAACAGGGAAGGGTGGAGACTGAGGCAGACTTGAGATTGTATTCCCTGCCCCATCTATTGTTCTCTCTCTCCCTCTCTGTCTCTCTGTCTTTCTCTCTCTTTTACACACACACACACACACGCACACACATACATGCATGCATGCACACACCAGCTCTCTCTTCTACACAAGAAACACACATTCCTTCCACCAATGTAGTCGAGATGTGCTGGGCAATGCTGAAGTCTAACTGTGCATCTTAATCGTTCAGGTTGCTTAATTCTTCCTTTCACTGACAAGATGAATTGTTGTAGAAGATGCCACCCCTATCAGCATCTCATGCTATGGATCTATTAGTATCTCTATTTATGGAGAAGAGAGAAGAGAGTGATAATTTATACACACATTTGTTTTGTAAAAATTATACTCCTATCCTCTGATTGGTTGGAGTCCTCCAGAATATCACTCCTCTGTGATAGAGAATGTAGCTAGAAGGGGAAATGTTAAATCGTTTAGGAATTTCCAATTTTTATATTGCCACTTGTAGCAAACTGTGTCATCCACTAAGCCGTGCAGTTTTTCCTATGCCCAAAATGTCACAAAAAGAAAAGTAGATCACAGCAGTTTACACATGCCAAACGCATTTGTCAAATAAACAACACAGAAAGAATTGCAATTGGAATACCATCCCTGTAAAGAAACAGTATTTAATCTGACTTTAATTGAAATGTGCATGCTGATACCTTCATTTATGCAAGATATGAAGCTGATATAAAGGAAAATAATGACAATAATTTCACTTGAGACATTATGAAAGTTGGGACTTCTAAAGCACTTTGAGAGGAAAAAATGAAACATTTCCTCATGCATGTGAAGAAACGTTGTTGCATTTGGTTTATAAAATGCTTCCATGTGGTAATGAATAAGGTAGAATTTCCAATTTAGTATAGTGCTAAATTGAGCTGTTATATGCTTCAGGAAGATAGATTTAGGCACTCAATAATTAAGCAAAAAACCCAGAATTGTTTGGTGTAATGGACTCAAGTGTCCTTTGCTGCCTAACTTCTATTCGTCTTCCCCTGTAAGATAATACCACTTGGAGTTTGCTTTGGGGCCGTTAATTCTCTCCCGTGCTCAGCCATTCCTGTGGACCCTTTCCCCAGCTCTCAGGACTGGCTAAAGTCAATAATCTCATCTCATCTTACCCTTCTGGCAACCATAATTTGATCCATGACGGGCAGAAACTTAGAAGCAATGAAATCTGTAGAAAAGTTTGTTAAAGCTTCTTGGGGAAAGAGGGGGAGCTCACTTCTCTTTGAGAACCACAGGAGGAGAGGCATTCCTTCTGTGGTCTGTGTGGTGTGAACCTATGAAGACTTGAATAGCTTCTTTGTTACCAAATGGAAGACCTTGGAATTGGCAACAGGAACCTATCTGAGGTCTGAAGAATAGGCTGACTCTATGGAAAGCAGAGAGAAAAAAAATGGAAAGGAACAAAGCTGGTCCTGATGTCACCAGATCAAGCTGTACCTGGAAGCTGGTCCTGCCCTTTGCCTTTATAGTGATAGAAGTCCATATGTACTATTATTCTTCAAGTGTTCTTGAACTGGATTTCCTATCCCTTTCAAAGGAAAGATTTGTAACTCATCATTTAGCTTTGGCAAATGGTGATGATATATTATTAATAATACATTTTTGATGAGTTATGCCAGGAAAACGGGGCCATTCTGTGGGTTTCTGCTTTGTTGTTTTGTTTACTATATTGTTTTCAATTGGAATTAATACCTCCTTAAGTCATTTTATTACTAGTCTCCTGTTTCATACTTTATAACACAGTTTAAGTACCATCTTCCCTATGAATTCATTATTAGATAAGATTATAAAGACTCTAGTTTTAGATCTGCTGAGGCTGCCCCATGTGGTTAAGAATATGTGTGTTAGGTTAGATAGATGTGATTTTGAAGCCTGGGCTCCCCAATTACTAACTAAGTGACTTTGAACAGTTTACCCAAATTCTCTAAGATACTTCTCTCACCCTAGAAAAATACTGTTAATAACAGCATCTTATCTCAGATCACTTTTGGAAAGAAAAAATGTTATAATGCACGTACAACACTCATCACAGCACCGGACACAGAGTAACTGCTCAATAAATGTTGATGCTGTTTATCTTATTGTTATCATACGTATCAAAGAACTCACCATATACAATGAGCCCAATAAATTCAAGCTACAGTAATTAGCTCAATAAATATTTTCTATATGAAACATTTAAAAAATGATGAGCAGATGGTTGAATGAATATACGAGTAAATTAAGATATGATTCATTGAAAAAAAATGAATGAATGAATGGGAGCTAGAAAATGAGAGGTGGTAACACAAATTGAGGGGCAGGGCTACAGGATGAGAAGGAGGAGAAAATGATGGAAAGGCACCCTGTGCTTTATGGGAATGCCCTTCTTGTGATCTGCGTCTCCATCAGGTGGAATGTTCTGCAGTGCTGCTCTCTTCATACTCTCATTACTGCAGGTCATCTGTCTGGAGCTTGTTGATGGGCAGCTTTATAGAGAGCTATAAAGCAGCACTTATGGCCAAAGTCATCATCGTTTGTTGAATTCTGTGCTTATGGTGCCCACATCATTTTCTCTCCTTTCTCTAGGTCATAGTCATTCAGTACACACATGGAGTTTAGCATAGATGGCTTAATTCCTCATACCGCCTCCCCATAGCCTCTGAAATAAAATTCAAGAGACCTCAAGACCCAAAAGATAAGTAAGAATAAGTAGGATAATGTGGACGTTTATTGAGTACTTATTTTAGTCCAGAACCAAAGAGTTAGCTAGGCAAAGATAACTCACCATCTTGAGTGAACCATCTCATCCAACCTTTACAACTATATGCGTCAGGTACACTCATTAGCTCAGCTTTGCTGATGAGGAAACAGATACACAAGGTTATATTACTTGTTCAACGTCACAGGGCTAGGGAGTGGCACTGACAGGATTTGAACCTAAGCTTCTGTCCCTGGAGCTTCTTCTCCAGGGGGCTTTAGCCGTCATCACTCTCTACCTGGCCTTAACTCCTAATGCACTTGAAGCTGCAAACACAGCTGTCCCTCCACTTCCTTTAGACTCTTCAAAATGAACTCAACAGAGTGAGTTTTCTGAAATAAAATTCTTTAAATGTACACACATTAGGGACACTTTGAGATTATTTTAAAAATTCATGTTTATAGATTTATTTGAATTTTTAAAAACATATTTCCTACTCATATTCCATTGATCCATATTAGCCAGTAGACAGACACTTAGAATTATAGCCCAGGTACAGTGCTGTAGTCCAAGTACTTCAAATGCCATTTCAAGGGACCATAGACCATTCTTACTGTAGGTATCTGGACCACCAACCTTGCTCTCATAGCCAAGCTTGGACAGGATAGTGTTAGCTAAAATTCTGTTTTAGACACCCTTTTATGCCTACCTGTCCAAGAGCTATGCAATTTGTAGCATCCCAGCCTCCAAATTCACAGAACAAAGTATAGAAGAGGGATTGGGAGTTGAGAAGTCATCGCTTAATAACTATCACACTGGCAACTTACATAAGTCTAGGAGTTATATGTTCTCTTAACTCTGAGAATATGTGCTCTTAATGCTGCAATCCACAGGGATGGATCCTTGGTAGCCATGTTTGTATCATGTGACCTTGCCCACTTCCTCAACTGGACTGGACGAGAACACTTGCATAAATCACATTCTGTCTCCTGAGGACTGGGACTGACAGTTAGTTAGTTTCTATCACTGAACCTGACTCATGTAAATCTGGGGTCACCATATTTCACCATATTCCACCAAACAGACTAAGCATGGAGGAAATCTGTCTATAGCGATCAGAGTACAGAAAGTGGAGTAGAAATGAAAAGGGAGGTGAGGGAGGGAGAGAAAGTGCCTCAGTGGTTTTCTAGTTTTTGAGTCCAGTCTCTTCCTAAAGGCTGGTTGGATCCCAGTCTTCTGTGTTCATTGAGACATTCCTACCTTTATAAAACATAACAACATTTTATATCAGTCAAGTAAGTCAGTTTCTGTTGCTTACATCCAAAAAGGACAGATTAATAAGACAACGCACTTTTTATTTTTTTCTTGTTCAGAGCATACTCAAATACTTTATGAGACAAGGTAGCTTACAAATAACACATAAACCATTTCATTGGCCAGAAAGGTGGTTGGTCAACCTCATTTAAAAAAGACAAGAAATGGGCAGAGCTATTTATTCAATATTTTTAGCAACAAGTGACAATAAAATTTCCAAGTTGTTCCTCAGCTTCTAATTTCTCTATAAGATTTTATAAATATCTAAGATTTCAATAATTACAATAATTAAAAATTTCTAAATAATTCTTTTAAATTACTTTTTAAAATGGGTGGCTTGAAAGAAAAGTATTAACTGTTAGCTTTCAGAAAAATAGCAGTGGAGGTCAATAATGTTAGAGAAGGATGAAGAAAGTTTGGAATCACCAGAGAAACTGTTTGTAATTCAAGAAGACAAATGACCATTTTGATGGCGGTCAGACACATTTCCAGAAAGTAGCTTACCTTGTATTGAATAAAATAATGCTGCCTCCAATTAGAATATAACCCAGTAACTAACGTGAGAAGAAAAAGTGTGAAGTAGAAGGAGCTCTCTGGTTGCCAGGGAGCAACCAAACTCAGTAACTCAAGTGAGTTTAGTAAAACAGTGTTTTGTGTGTGTGTGTGTGTGTGTGTGTGTCTGTGTGTGTGTGTGTGCGCGCTGCTTGAATCTGAGAGGAGCATGATTAGAGTAAGCTTTGGGCATGGCTAGATCCAGATGTGCAAAGGACAATACCAGGAATCTGTCTCTTGCCACCTCTTCTCTCCAGCTTTCCCTGTATGGGCTTCATGCCTAAGCAGGTTTATTGCACATACAGTTGCCAGATTTAGCTAATAAAAATACAAGATACCTAGATACATTTGAATTTAGATAAATAATGATTTTTGTTAGTTTCAGTATTTCCCATGAAATATTTGGGACACATACTAAAAATCATTCATTCTTTATTTGAAATTCTTTTTAACGGGGCATCCTGTGTTTGATCTGGCAACCCTATTCACATGAGGTGGCAAAGATGGCTGCCAACACGTCTAGACTTATATTCTATTAATGTGGCAGCCTCTGTAAATAAGAGGCTTATTTGCTAAAATTTTAATATATATAAGATTCAACTTGAACATCTGTCTTTTGACTCCTCATTGTCCAGGTGTCTTTCTGTGCATCCCATAGTCATCGTCACTCCGATATCCACTGGAGAAATCAATTAGCACTTATGAGGGCTTCCTCTCTCTCTCTTCTCTGTATACAAAATGAACAGGTAAAAAGGAAATGCTTGTCAAAACAAATCTCTATTTGGTTTTCTCCATCTATGGGACAATCTCTGTTATGTGTCAATCACTTTATTGCAAAATAGCCCCTCCAAGACACAATCCACATTTTCAGATGACACCCGCCTGTCAGTCACTCACTAATTCAAAGCCAAATTTCATGCCAAGCAAAGACCAGTTTGTCAATCACTTTGCCTGCCACACATCCACCAGAATCACCTGACAGCTACAACTTTCTACTCTCCAATAAAGTAGGTCTAGTTAAGGCTGTTTGTCTCCTCTAATTGAGTTCCCTTTAGGACTGGTAGCTTAGCAACTAATAAGTTATTTTCTGCGACAACTGGCCTAAATTTCATAGCTTTCTTGACCATTGCCACTTGTTAGAAAATTGTTTCCCCTCAAGTGGCTAAACAGCAGATGTAAAATTTATTTAATACTAAATTGTTCTATTGTTTCTATTATAAGCACTCTTCCACTGCTTAAAAGTAAATACAGGATATGTTGTTAAATAGTCATAATTTTGCAAAATTATGAAATGACTTGAAATTTTGTTCCAAAGATTCAAATTCTTCATTATAGGAAGCACTAAATGCTGGAAAAGAGGCCAATAGGATTAATTCCCAGCATTTATTGAGCTATAAATTGCTTCACAAGTACCTACTGTGAGTGAGTCACTATGAGGTCATGCACAAAGTATTATATAATACCTGTTCTCGGCCTGAAGAGGCTTGGTTGGAGGAGATAGCTGGCAACAAACTACATCTATTTAGAGAATAAACAGTGCAAAGGTTAAAAAAGGAAATAATAATTTTCTAAAAGGATCAAATATAGTCATGATTGGTAGAGGGAATGATGACGGTTAATTTTACATGTTAACTTGACTGGGCTAAGGGATGTCCAGATAGCTGGTAAAACATTATTTCCATATATACCTGTGAGGATATCTCTGGAGGAGATTAACATTAGAATCGTTAGACTGAGTAAAGATCACTCTTACCGGCGCAGGTGGGCATCGGCCAATCTGTCAATGGCCTGAGTAGAATAAAGGAAGAGGAAGGGTGAATTTGCTCTCTCTGCTTGCGCAGGAACATCCATCTTCTACTCTTGGACATTGGTGTTCCTGGTTCTCAAGCCTTTGGACTAGGACTTACATCATTGGCTCTCCTGGTTTTTAGGCCTCAGGCTTGAACTGGAATGAAACCATCAGCTTTCCTGAGCCTCTAGCTTGCAGACAGAAGGTTGTGGTATTTCTCAGCCTCCATAGTCACGTGAGCCAATTTCTCATAATAAATCTCTATCTATCTATCTATCTATCTATCTATCTATCTATCATTTTTCTATCTATCTATCTACCCTGTTGGCTGTGTTTCTGTCAGAGAACTTGTCATTTCTTTGGTAGCCCAACTTTCCATTTCTCTTTCCAGTGTTAGAGAAACTCTCATTGTATGTAGAGTAAGTGAGAGATTGTGCCTTTACCTTCCATTGTAAAAAGTTGAAAGACTGGACTTTACCATCCCTCTGGCAGCCACAAAATCAAAAATTGGCTAGTTGGATGTGCCTGCTCTGGACTTTTGAATCTATAGCTGTGAGAACATTTGAATTCACTCACGGTAGTTTCCCCAGTGTCCTGGAGCAGAGGCATCAGCAGCATGTAGGACTGTGGTATTATTCTGCACCCAAAATAACTGGGTGATTGGTTGTTCCTGCTAAAAGGAGAATGTTGTGATCCTTGTCTCCTGTCTACTCTTGAATTGCCATGGTTCTAACCTGGTTCTCCAATTGCTCATCAATTTTGAGAATCCCTGAAATACTTCAAATATATGCAATTGACTCTTGAACAACACAGGTTTGAATTAGCGGGTCCATTTATACACATATGTTTTTCCATCTTTCCCACTCCTGAGACAGCAAGACCAGCCTTCTCCTCCTCAGCCTAGTCCATCTGAAGATGATGAGGATGAAGACCTATATGATGATCTACTTCCACTTAATGAACAGTAAATATATTTTCTCTTCCTTAGGTTTTTCTTCATAATGTTTTCTTTTCTATACTTCACTGTAAGAATACAGTATATAATACATAAAACATAAGAAATATGCCTTAATCAACTGTTCATGCTATCGGTATGGCTTTCAGTCAATAATAGGCTATTAGTAGTTAAGTTTGGGGGGAGTAAAAAATTACATGTGGATTTTCGACTGTGTTAGGGAGTTGATGCCCCTAACCTCTGCATTGTTCAAGGGTCAATTGTACATATATATGTGTGTGTGTGTGTGTATACATATATACATAATTATATATGAGATATATAATTAAATTCTTATATATAAGAACAATGAATGAATGTATGTACATATATAACACATGCATGTATAATTTAAGACATTCAGAATCATTTTTTGTTGTATGTAACCCATACTCCTCAAATTTTTAACCGATTTAGAAAATGTTGTGTGTGAGATAAGAAAGGTTCTCTCCTCACTCTGGGCTGCAATAATTTGGGAAGCTTCCATGGAGAATAAAGACTTTAAATACTCTTTGCATAGGCAAAGAACAAGGGAGCAGCTGTTCTGGATAGAATCACTGGTACAGAGAAGCAGAAAAAGTCTGGTACGTTGAGAGCAAATTTGAGGCTTAATAAAGAAGAGATCTTGTTTATCTTCCCCATTATTTTATCTTTGTAAAAATAGCACAGTGACTAGCAAAAGATAAGCATTAATTAAAAATGTGCAACTATGCTGGGTGTGGTAGTTCACACCTGTAATCTTAGCACTTTGGAAGGCTGAGGCAGGAAGATTTCTTGAACCCAGGAGTTTGAGACTAGCCTGGGAAACATAGGAAGACCCCGTTTCTACCAAAAAAATAAATAAATTAGCTGGGCATTGTGGCGCATGCCTCTAGTCTCAGCTACCTCAGGAGGCTGAGATGGGAGAATAGCTTTAGTCCAGGAGGTTGAGGCTGCAGTGATCCTTGATTGCACCACTGCACTCCAGCCTGGGCAAGAGAGCAAGACTCTGTGTTTAAAAAAAAAAAAAAAGAAAAAAAAAGTGTGTAGAAAAATGAATGAATAAATAAACGACAACAAAAGAGAAAGAATACCCACATGAATTTGGCTAAACTGGAGACTCCTAGTGGGGAGGTACAAAAATGAGTCTCTAACATTAGTTGAGAAATTATGGTGAAGAAGGTAAAAATGGACAGCAATGATTTCTTCCTTTTAATATCAATTTTCAGCATATTATAATGTACCATTTATCCTATAATGCATACAATGTTAAACTATAAGACTCTAGAGCTCTGCAGAGACAGGGAACACATTGAGTACATTGTCAGATGACTCACGCTTATGGTATTGCCCAGTGGGAAACAATCTCAATCTGGAAATTTCCTTACACTAAAAGGAGCTGGCTTCAAAACTCCATTTGGCCACCTTAGAAGATGCAACTGAGCAGAGAGAGAAAATGCTCAGGGGGAGGAAACCGTGATGGTATGGCTAACATAAAGAGAGAGAAGCCATTCCTGTACGATAAAGAACTCCTAGTAGGCAATTTGCAGAGCACGGCATGGGATGCCTACTTCTTTAGTTCCACAGCTGTTCTAGACTTTAGTTTAGGGCGTGTCCTTTGAGCAATTGCAGTCAGGGAATTCCCTGATATTAGTAATTGGCCTTTTGATGTTTCAGTGCAGACTGCTCTGGCATGGAAGAATGAGTAATGAAGAATTTAAGCCAAAGAACAGAGATAATTCCATTAGATACATTTGGATAATGGTTTGACCCATTTCTTAGTCGGGAGTGATTGGAAGTTAAACTCAGAACCAACTCTATGTTGTTTGTGGAGGAGCCAACTTTCATTTTAGCATTTACTGTGCATTATGATTTGTTCTAAGAACTTTGCTTGTATCACCTCATTGAATCCTTGCAACAGTTTGCAAATGTAGATGTTGAATGAGAGGTATCAGAGGAGAAAATCTATTGTTTTGGACAAGGGGAAGGTATTAGGTCTTATCTGGAAAAGTGGAATGTGTGAGGTCACTAGGACCTCATGGAGAGAAAGACAAAACAAGGGACAGAAACTCTACAATATTTACACTCCAGTGATTGCAGAATGGTTTGGGCCAAGGAAAAGGTGTGACAGAAAGGAGGCTGTAGTTCAATTAAAGCAGTGCTCCATTGCTCTGTTTCCATGGTCATTGACACAGGGCTCTTTCCCTGTGTTGATGACATTACAATAATACTAAGAAGAAAAAAGGACATATGCAAATGAAGAAAACAATAAGGAGAGAGAGTCACATGTGGGCTAGTTATTTCCTCACTGGACAAAGGTCCACCAGTGTTTGGCAAGGTTTTGTGCAAGAGAAAAAGGAATGGTTTCACAAAGAAAATAACTTTTCTTACAAAAACTTGGAGACTGTGTGCTCAAGAAAACTTCCCATAACAGAACTGGTGTTTTCCTCACTGACCTTGATTTAAATCAGGGTCAGTAATAAAATCATGGTGTGGCCTGCTCTCTTTTGATATCACTAATGAGAACCGAGAAATGGGCAGTGTTGAACACTCGGTGCTCTTGGATAACTTAGCCTGGCTTTGGAACCATGGGTGGATTTGATTGTTCAGATTTCTCTCCCTAGTGAGGATGATTGGGATACAGGGAGACTTATAAAATGAGGAATTGAGAGGTTGTTATTATCATTCTCATTTTACCAATGAGGAACCTGAGGTTCAAAAACGCGAAATAGTCCTTAATAATACATAACGAGTAAGCAGTGGAGACAGAATTGATCAGTCTGACTCCATAGTTTAAAGTCTTTTCCATTATGGTGTATGTAAAAGACTGCTAGTGTTTTCTCCTCTCTGTCACCTCTTTTATTACAACAATGTAACACCCATATTTTAGTGGAGCAGATGGTTGCCCAGCTTGAGACTACATTTCCCAACTTCCCTCGTAGCTGGGTTGTGGCCATGTGAGTAAATTATGCTTAATGAGATACGAGCAGAAGTGGTGTGTGCCGCTTTCCATTCATGCTCCCCAGAAGAACTTGGTGTGATTTCCCATGCCTCTTTCCCAATTCGTAATGGTTACAGCTGGAGATGATTGACATCACCCTCTTGAACAAGCCAGAGATAGACACCATGTTTTCAGTATGACTGGAGAGAGAGAGAAATAGACTTCTATCATGTAAAACCACTATAATTTTTTTTAACAGCATCTTAGGCAATATCCTAACTTACACATGATATAACAGCTCTCCAAGAGTTTTACCATTTCTTCATGAAGAACTACAGGTTCCTATCACAGATTATGTAATACTTTTTATAGTTTGATATAAATATACATGCATATATTAAATATAGTAACCTTTAAGTGAGTTTAGATATTTCTATATAATTTTGACTTTACTCTTGATTAATTCTTTATGTTATTTTTATGAAGACTTGAGTTAAAGAATCATTCGGAGGTCGGGCGCGGTGGCTCACGCCTGTAATCCCAGCATTTTGGGAGGCCGAGGCGAGCGGATCAGGAGGTCAGGAGATCGAGACCATCCTGGCTAACACGGTGAAACCCCGTCTCTACTACAAATACAAAAAATTACCCGGGCGAGGTGGCGGGCGCCTGTAGTCCCAGCTACTCCGGAGGCTGAGGTAGGAGAATGGCGTGAACCCGGGGGACGGAGCATGCAGTGAGCCGAGATGGCGCCACTCACTCCAGCCTGGGCGACAGAGCGAGACTCCGTCTCAAAAAAAAAAATAAGAATCATTCAGAAATATTGATTGATTTACCTCTTTCTGGGTAGACCTAATATACCACAGTTCAGTAAACTATACCTGCCAACAGAGGTCTAAAAGACCAGGAATCAGCAAACAAATCTGTTGTACAGATTTGTTTTTATAAATAAAGTTTTATTGAAACACAACCATGCCCATTTGTTTACATATTGTCCATGGCTGCTTCTATGCTCCAAGGCAGAATTGAGTAGTTGAGACAGAGAAGTCCAGGTAAACAGTGCGTTTTGCAGAAAGATATTTTCCCATCTGGATGTGATGCACATTTCAATAGTACTTACTATATTCGTTGCTTAAATGCAAAAATCTATCCGGGTTTTTATAAGTGGGTTGCCACTCCTCATTATTTTTTCTCGGTGAAATATCTTTTGGAGGAATTTGTTATTTTTGACCTTGCGAGAATGAGCAAAGGGGCAAAAGTGAGGTAAGCTATAACACCAAATGCGGACAGTCTTCTTTGCCTCCCAGACATGACTCTGGGCTTTGGGATTTCAGATGGAAAAGCCAAGTGAGTTTTATATAGCTGCGCTGATCTTTGCTTCTTGCATTCGTAGTATAAAGAACGTCTTGCTCCTGCTGGGAGGAAAGCCATGATAGAATCAGATTCTGCAGAAGTTTGCAAGCGCCAAGGGTGTTCATGACTCCAAACTGCTTTCCCGATGCGCACAGATTGAAGCATCTGAGGGGACTTGGGTGTGGAATGATGGACGCGGTTCTCACTTCCAGGGGAGGAGCCCTCTAAAGCCCAAAGCTTCCGTCAGGGAAATGTGTGTGGGGGAAGCAGTGCCATGGCCTCAGCACCTGGACTGTGAGTCCATGAAGACCTAGGGGCAGAGGAAGTGGGAGGCAAAAGACTGTAAATATTATTCAAATAAAGAAAGCACAAGATCAGAAAGCAACAGAACGCTGGAAATGTTTTTCTTTTTCTCCCCTTCTTTGAGACAGTGAAGGAAAAGGGGATTGTTATTTCATAGGCCCGCGCTGGCTGTTGTGCTGAGGGCACTACACTGTCTCTGTGTGAAAGGCCAGTTTATGAGGCAGCAAGGGATGATGCCACGGTCTTGGTGGCTACGACAAAGGTCAAGCTCCTGCTCCTGCTATAAGATCTGTCATAGATCAGCTGCAGCTCTGTTCCATGTTCCCTTCATTCTGGCATCCAGGCTGATGGAGAAACAAAGGGCAAAAAGAGTCAGCTCTTAAACAATGTTGCCCAA